TCGTGCGATTCTGCTGAGTTATTAGTTCCTACAGTCAACGCTCACGCCTCATGCTCTGACCACAACAAGTGTGCTGGGTCGCGTTCCAACAAAAGTGCGATAGAAACTCCGTTTGACAGCTCGGAGAAAATGCACTCTCTATCGACCTTAAGCTCAGTCACGGATTCGCGTGCATCTATAGAATCTGCGAGGGTGGATGAAAAAAATAAAAGGAGGCAGAAACAACAAAAATGTATGGTGGGAACCAGCAATAGCAACGAACTTCTTGCAGTCGCCCGCTTTAAATGGTTAAAGCGCAAACAGTCAACGACGTAGCGTAGACGTAGGTTGACGCAGACACGATCTAGCTTATGGGATTCGCGTGTTAACGAAAACTCACCACCGCATGGCGGTGACTTGGCTGTTGCTTCTCTCTCTCTCTATCAACAGTAAATTTTATATGCTGCTACGTACGTCAACCTACGTTTACGCTACGTCGTTGACTAACTGAGCTTTTAGACTTATCTTCATTTAAGCCTTCGGTTCAGCCCGAGAATATCGTCGATTATGTGGTGAGCAGTGTTGCCAGAACTTTTTGGACGAACCGGCTAAATTGGCAAATAAAACCGGCTAAAAACGGCTAAAATGTTTCAACTAAATTTCACATGTTTTATTTAAATAAATCACGAGTAAAAAGACTATTTCTTGGAGAGCAGTTATAAATTCGAGCCGGAAAAATTTTTGCCAGCAAGAATTTGCAAATTTGATTGTGGCATATGGTTGGATTTTTTGTGGACGATAATTTGAATAAACCAGTTCGTTAAATTTAAAAATTTACAAAATGGTGCGATTTTAAAATGAAAAATGTAATTCAATACTTGTTTACTTAATTAATTTAGTTAACTCCAATGATTTGAAAGGTACTCGGCAAAAAAACAACTGTATTCTTAGTCGGAATGCAATCTCAACCAGAGTCGATATAGTAAACCCGACAAAGAAATTGAAACGTATGTTGAAGAAAGTCGGACTGACAAGATATATACACGTAGATCCTGTTTTTTGCCCCTCTAAAACAATTTTAAAAATTCTATACAAATTTCTTTTGTTTGAAATGCAACCGTGGATACTAGCCGGCAGAAAAACTTGCAAATTTGACTTCGTACAGAAAATTGCAAGTTTCTCTACATGAGAGAATTTGGGAGCATTTTTTCTTACTATCTGGTATTTTGAGTGATAATTCTCGCTGGATTTTCGACGAACAAACCTATTGTCTTCCCTACAAGGCCTTCTCAGACTGACCAATTCTCAATGCACTCAAATAGAAACCAATACACATAAAAAACGCTGTGAAAATTTCCCTTCAATTTTAAGGCAGTAAAATAACGACCTTAAGTTAACATCAACCGAGGCCATATGTTGACAAGGGATGCAAAATCGCAGTTACACAAAAGAACTGGTCAGATTTTTCAGAAATCCCTTCAATTCTGATGTAAAATATGATGCCAAAAGACTGCAGATCTCCCATTTAGATGACCGGCAGATGTCTCGTAGGATTCCCAGAGAGTTTTGCTTTGAAATTTGTGCTCTTTTCTTTTCATTTTGACTCACTTCAGTGTTGGTTCCTTTAATTCAAGTTGGCATTCGGTTTTTGGAATTTAAATAAGTTCTCAGCAAAAAAGTTTGTTTAAAAAAATACATATGTGTACATAGTGCTTGAAAATATAAATTTTTCCCTTACCTTAAACTTTTGAGAGTGGGCAAAAATCATGTTTTGTAATTTAGGCAGAATTGAATATGCGCTATCTGGGAAGACAATATCTACATGTAATATTTATTCTGTTTGTTGGCACTATATCCAAACACAAACACATCTTAAGTGTATTAACAGTGAAACAATTTCTTATTTTCTAAGTTTGCGAATAAAACTTCACACTTAAGATTAAGACATTTATAACAAACATTTTATCAAGAAAATCCCTTCTTCGTTTAAAATAAAAATAAGCGAAATCGGACCAATTTCATACAACCCTGCCTGACATGAAAATTTTCTCTACTAGCCTTAGCCATTTCTAACAGATTTTGGGTCGCTTAGTCAAAAATAGAAACATATATACATATTTGAAATTTAAGAAAACAAGGCAATAGCAAAATCGGCTAAAAACGGCTAATTTTTTTCTGCAAAACGGCTAACAAATCGGCTGCCGGCTAAATCGAAATTTCTCCGGCTGTTTGCTATCGCAACCGGCTAAATCTAGCCGGAAAACGGCTAAAATGGCAACACTGGTGGTGAGGCATGCTCATGTCGATAAGCATCACCTAACTTGTTACAAATTGCTAAAAAAAGAGAAAAAATCTGAATCTGATTCTCTTAAATATGTCAATTTTAAACTTGGTGTTATTGAGTCAGAGTACGATAAGCTGTTGAAACCGGAGGTTTGGCCGGCAAATATAACTATTCACCCATTCCGTTTTTTTCATCAAAAAGACAAGCAACTGCCGCAAAACTAGCTGGTCGCTGCAATTCTAGCAAACGCACAAAAACCTATTATCAAAACACTTCTGAACTCAGAAGTCAGTCAAACAATGTGCGCATGCTAAGTTCTCTTTTAGAATACGATGTTTTCGTTTTAACTGAAACATGGCTCAAATCTAACTTTTTTGATGCGGAGTTTTTTGATTTGAATTGCTTTGATGTATTTCGTAAGGATAGAGATCCCGTTAAAACTGGATGTAGCAGAGGAGGCGGCGTTTTGATAGCAACTCGCTGTAATTTACGGGCCACGCTTTGTCAAATACATGATAGTGATGCTGTACTTGATCAACTTTGCGTACGGATGCCCGGTTCTCATGGATTTCTTTACATATGCGTATCTTACATACCGCCACTAAGTGTTGAATGTGTCTATAAATCGCATATTGACAACGTCCTGGCACTTCAGCGTTTCATTGGCTTATATCAGTTATGTGTTTTCGGTGATTTTAAATTGAGCAATGTAAATTGGAATTGTCTGGATAATAATGTTTTTTTTTTTTTAATTCCTTCAAATATTACAAGCAGTAATGAGTCATATGTTATTGATAACTTATTGAGTGTGAGCTTAATCCAAATATCTCGAGCTAATTTGCATCACATTCCGACATTGTTGGAGGTTGAATTTGTTACATTTAATTTTGCTGGGTGCAATTTTAATGAATTAGATAAGGCTTTAAGTGACATTGATTGGGATTTTTTCTTTGGAAATAAAGAAGTTGCAACTTGCTCTAACATTTTTAAGAGTTCATTATTCGATTTATGTAGTAAAAGTGTGCCAATTTTTAAGAGTAAAATTTATAAGCTTCCCTGGTATTCGGTAGAGCTTAAACATCTGAAAAATTTGAGAAACCAGTTCTTTAAAAAGTATAAGTAGACCAAAAGATCGCATTTTTATGATATGTGTATTTTATATAGAAAAAGTTCAATGATTTAAACAAGTCATTATACGACAAGTATATTAATATCTTTGAAGTAAATATTAAAAACAACCCAAAGAGTTTCTGGACCTATATAAAGTCAAAGCAAAATGTTTCAAATATTCCCAAAACTGTTTTTTACAACGATGTTTCTGCTTCCTCTATTAATGAGGCGGCTAATTTGTTTGCGGACTTTTTCTCATCAACGTTTGTATCCGATGATGATTTGACTGCTGATGAATTAGCTACTTTAAGTCTTAACCTTGAAGGTAAAATATCTTCGTCTGTTGTCTTCGGCTCTTTGCTATTATCCGAAAATGACATAATTAAAGGGTTAAGTAATGTTAAGGACTCTACGCAGACTGATGTGGATAGGCTGTCCATGAGCCTGTTAAAGAGTTGTGCCTCGCTAGTTAAGCGTTTGATTTTCATTGATGACTGGAAACGTACATCAATCACCCCAATTTTGAAAAGTAGAAATAAAAGTGATATATCTAATTATAGACCAATTTCCAAATAATCTTCAGTTGCTAAGCAATTTGAATGTATCATAAAGGAAAAAATCTATTTTAATGTGAAGCATTTGATTTGTTCAAATCAACACGGATTTGTAACTGCAAGATCCACTGAGTCTAATCTTTCGGTTTTTACTGAGGATTGCTATTCATCGTTTCGTAGAGGTTTTCAAATTGACACAATCTATACAGATTTTTCCAAAGCGTTCGGCAGGATCTCTCACAGCATTTTAGTTGCAAAGCTTGCGTGTTTGGGTTTTCACTCAAACCTTCTTGAGTGGATCAAGTCGTACTTGTATAAGAGGAGCAG